CAGGACAGATTTTCAAAAGCAATCCTTCAAAGGTAGAACTGTTGAGCCTCACAGTAGATGGTGATTTTTTTTTTTTTTTTTTTTTTTTTGTATTAACACGACCTGAGCTAGTAATAAAATTAGATCCTTTAAAGAAGAAAACATTGATGAAAGAATGAATCTGGTCATCTCTTTCATAAATATTTCTTGTTCAAAGCAGCCAAACTCCAGAATATTATTTCCTCCATTTGTGTCTCAGGTTTCCTAACTGTGGCAGGTAGAATGTGAGGCAGGCTGTAGAACACACACCTCCGCCCTCCACAGCCATCAGTCCACGTCTGAGCTCTAATGGACACAGACACTCAGCAGCATTAAAAATTCTGATTAAGTGGAGATGCATAACACATTCACTGGCAAAGCCATTAGCCCTGCAGCAGCATTTTCAGATGGAATCAGGTGATTGATTTATGACCGTTGTACACCGCGGCACATTATGTTTCCGTAAAGTTAGGAGCCAGAGGAGTGACCCGGGTGCTCTGTGTGTATGTATGTACTTCATCGATGCCATCATTGCCTCCTGTTGCATTGTGCTCCAGGGCTTTTTTTTCCCCCACAGACCGGTGCAAAAGTGTTTGTTCCTGCGCTGCTGTCTCGCGTTCCCAGGGCGACCAATTGTGATGCGTAGCTTGGTGGCAGCAGTGTGTAAAAATAGAAAGCAATCAAGGCAGCGGGGCGTGAAGCAGATTCATACGACTCCCAACAGCGTTTTCTCTCCATTTATCTAACCTGCCTGCTTTTTTCCTCCCCCCTCTCTTTCATTCTACCTCACACCCACAGGATTAGAGGTCTGTACCACGTATTAGGGATGAGGTTTTTTTGCTTCTTTTGACAAAAGCCAAAAATAGCAGCATCTGTGCCCCATCACTGCTCCCTCTCCTCCTCCCTGCAGTGCACCCACGCAATAGCCCCACTTCCGCCTGTACAGCTATATGTTCTACATACTGCCGGGGACCTATTTAAATATTGATTGGAGGTGAATAATTGAGCTGGGTTGGCTGTTGTGTAATGGAAGCTTTACATAACGTTGACACGGCTCAGTGATCTGCCTCTCAGTCAGTGGATCATCTTGTCTCCTCTGCCTGTTCATTTGAGTGTGTAAAGATAGCGGTAGGGTTCCGGGTACAAAGGGTTGATGAGAAGTCCATATGACACACGCTGACCCAGTGACTCATTGTCAATGTGGCGAGACAGAAACATGAGCCAGGCCAAATAAAAGAAGCATTTTTAACACTGGTGTGCTAAAAGTATTTGTGAATAATCCCTTCACTATATTTAAACTCATATAAAATATCACTGATATATTAAATGCACTTTATATTATTTTAACTGGTGACTTTGTTACTAATTGGGACATAAAGAAGGTCAGAAGCCAAAGGTACACTGTCAAGACTTTAGCAACATCTAGTGGTAACTTTACATAGTGTACATGCCATGAATATCCCTCACTTAGCCATTCTTGTCCAAACATATGAAGTAAATAAGTTTTTCTGTATACCATGTGTCTACTGTTCCCATATCTACAAAAAAGTGTAGAATTTAATATGTAGAATTTGTTAGGGATTAGGATTAGGGTTACGGTCCAGAGGATTACAATAATCTCCTTATGTGTTTATTTAATAGGTGGTTGTCAATTTTAAAAATAGATTGAAAGCCACTGTCTCCAGTTAGTATCGCTGACATCATGCTGTCCATACAATATGCTGAAGAAGAATCGCAGTACGATTCAGCAGAATGTAAACATCCCTTCCAGCGTTTGTCCAAAGAATATATACATTTATAAATGGATAATAATATTAGCTCAGAAATTGGATTCAAATTTCTACTTGGAAATCTCTCCAGTGTTTGAGTGTCTGTAAAAACACCATTAATAACAGTTAAAAATGGCTGTTGTGAAGAATATGATGTCAACTTTTCTTTCAACACTGATGGACTGGATTTGTAAAAGTCTGGATCGGTTCAGGCCTCTCGGGCCGGGATCTGTGTGTGTGTGTGTGTGTGTGTGTGTATTTGGGTATCTCTGTTTTGCATTAGGAGTGTGGAGCAGGGAGAGCCTGAAACATCTGCCATGTTTTTGTGTTAGTTTAACTGTTGCTACTGTATCAGACTGTGGTCACCAGGGCGGCAGGTAGCGGACGCCTTCACTTAGAGCCTCTGTGTTGCTCAACCTAATTTGGTCCAGATGAGGTGGAAATGGGCCCAATTCTGACTCATTAAATTTATCTGAAACCTGTTCTGAATTTCATTTGAAACTGAAATCTTTACATGTCAAAGTGCAAAATTATTGCCGTTATTTTTAACCAGATTTATGACCCTTTTGTTTCTCCTTTAGTTTGTCTTATTCTGTTTTTATGATCTTACTGTTTTCTTTGATAATGGTTATTTCACACGGGCCGTTAAGCCAAACTGACCGTAAAAGGAGTCACAGTTCATATGCATTATTGTAAAATTTATCTCAGTTCGAGCTGTATCTACAAATGTTATGATGTGAGACCCGCAGTACAGTATAAGTACTTCTTATGTTTCAGCCTCTGAGCCCAACCTGAAGGTACGATCCCGGCTGAAGCAGAAGGTAGCAGAGAGGAGGAGCAGCCCAATGCTGAAGAGAAGAGACGGAAACATCATGACTCCTTATAAGAAGAGAGCTCTGGAGCTAATGGGTGAGTATTGTCCAGAGGACTTTAGGTAAAAACAGGTTTTTAAGTCAGGCTGATCCCACCCCTCCCCCAGACTTATTTATTTTCCTTTGCAGAAAAAAACATCCATACAACAGAGGATTTTTATATACTGACTTAAAAAGGCAATTACTTTCTGCAGTTTGGTTTTCATTATATTCAAATGAGCTTCACTCTGTTAGAATGTGATTAAAATGTTTAATTACAGCAGCGCTGGACATAATTCAATGTTTCTGCCGCGCAATAAAATGTAATTGTGATTGCACTATACTCTAATAACAGACCACTCAGACCAGGCAGCCGTGGCTGTGTACAATAAACTGTTGTGAGGCCACCGCTATTGTGCCAAAACTTCCATTTATGTGTTTAAACTGTAGAAAATAAGAAATTCTGTATCTTGATTTTTTTTCTCTAGACTCTACACCCACTAACAGTGCCCCTGGCTCTGGGCCAAGCTCTCCTATTGGGGCCTCTAGTGCCTTGGGGGGTGAAAACGGACCCTCGTCTCTGCCTACTACCACAAAAACTGAGGTTTGTTTGTAAACTATGCATGCTCAACACAAGTTACAAAAGTAAAAAGAAAAACAAAAGAGAGAGAAAACAATCCCTTCTGATGTGATTGAACATGGAAGTGATGTAATATCAAAGCTATTATTTTATGTCAGGGCAGTAAATGCCTGTGTGTCCTTTTACTCGCAGCTATAAAAACAGTTTTGTCTGTCACACTCCAATGAAAATTGCTCCCCACTCTGACATTAAAGAGGCGCAGCTTGGCTCTCGTATGTAATTATTTGTATAAAGATGACACGTTATGTTGGAAAATAAATGAACTCTAATTGTGTACAACACAGAATTCAAACATACATGTAAAAGTTAAAAACCCTGCACATTAAAAAAAACAACTCTAGCATGTCAAAGCTTCTTTTGCTTTAGAAAAACTGTTTTGCTCTAAAGTTGCTGTTGGCTGGTTGTAGTGTTTCTGTCATTGGCCTGGCCGCCTGCCGCCACTCAGTGGTTCTGAGGCGTTTCCCAATAGATTCGTGGCTGAGTTGCAGCCCAGGGCTCCCCTTGGATCGAGTTCACAAAGCAGACCATTATGGAGGATGGCAGATATGACAGACCTCAGAACAATATTAACAGAGCAGCTGTGTTATTCTTAAACGTTGCTGTTTACTCTCACAGGGATCTCCGTCCTTTCAGAGTCAGGAGAGACGCCCCGACACTGAGCCGAGGTCCAGTCTTAGGGAGACAGACAAACTGTGGACTTTAATTGATATCCCAGACGCTAGTAGCCAAAGACACCCACATGCTAACAACATAAACACACCGGACTGCTATTGTATCAGCCTGAGCTGGGGCGCTCATGAGAGTCGCTGGCGGAGTGCGCGGCGGCCTGTGGACCTCGGGCCTGTTGCAAAAGCACAGCGTGTTTATGCACCGTTACATTAGGTATCCTTTTTCAGAGGGAACGGGTCCCTCGGGTCAAATATGGGCCGGATATCCACGCACAGGTCACTGCCTACTGGTAGGGGTGGGGAGGATAAACATGGCTGTTCCAAAACCACATGCTGGCCCGCTGCTCTGCTGGGTACAGGAACTGTGCCCCAGTGCTGATGTTCTCTGAGGGAGCAGCCGGAGGGTGGGGACCGTGGAGAAGGAAAACACAGCGGGAGGATTAGGAACTGAAGAAACAAGGGTGTAGAGGTAGATTTGAAAGGGTTGGCGTGTTTGTAGTTGTGTATCATCCTCAGAGGTGATTTCTGTGAAGTTGAGTTCCTGCCACTCCTTTAGAGTTTATCATCCACTGTAAAAAGACATCCCTGAAACCTCTCTGAAACATTAACACTACTTTAGATTTTCCGCTACTTTATCTTTTTTATTATTATTATTTTATCCTTGTGTCTTATCCAGAGATGGCCTTCACAGCCGAGATTATTCCGGCCTGACGGCTCAGTGTCCATGCTGAGCTTGTACACCTCTCCCTCCTTACCCAACATCTCACTGGGTCTTTCTGCTGCGTCCTCGTCAATGAGCGTAAGTTCAGCTTTTGTTATTACACCGGTGTAACTTACACGTTAACATGAAATCCTCTTTATAGTTCAGTTGATCTATAACACAGAGTCTGTCGTCCATGGATGTTTGGGTTCTCTGTGCAACAGTAGGTCGCCCACCTCTGACCCTGAATGATTTTATCAGCCTTAGATAAATATGGCTGTGTAGGGTCTTGTCTCTGAAATGCTTTTGTCCTTCTCCATTACCTCATTTATCACAGGTTTAAAAAGGTCCAAGGCCACTCAAGTTGCAACTCCTGATAACACAACAGATGATAAATCATCTTTTAGATTTCCTCACATTCCACAGATGGCTGTTCATCAGCTGCTTTCACTCTGAAAACATTTATGGCAAATGCCCACAAAACACATTCATTCACAAAAAAAGGTTGGAATTATTTGGTGGAGAATTCTGGAATGTTTGTAAACACAGAGCATGTAGCTCCCTTTCCCCCTCCTCCCCTAAAGGGGGTGCTATAAAACCAGTCTGGAACTGGACTGATAGATTCATCATCACATTCACATCGTCTCACCTTAAAGCTGACGACAGTAACACTTAATACAACCCACCCGCTTCCTACACTTGTGTGGCCCTTAGAAATGACTAGAAATGACTGACTGTGTTTGAAAATAATTTGCTACAAACTCTAAATTATTCCAATTAAATGTATGTTCTTTCTTCTTATCTTTGGTGCTCACTCAGTCTGCCAGGTCAACAGAAATCAAACATGGTCTCCCTGGAAATCTCCTGGGTCCCGTGCCTCTTCACACAGGCCTGGAATCCAAGGTGAGCCCCAGTCACCAGGCTCTCCTCCAACACCTCCTCCAGAAGGAGCAGATGAGGCAGCAGAAGATCCTCTCCACTGGTGCGTTTGCCCGTCTTCCATCTTTAATGCTACGCTGTGAAATTCTCACTTTTATTTTGCAAGAGTAACAAGTGTACACTGTGACTTTGTTGTCAGGCCAAGGCTCTATGTCGCCCCACCCTCAGTCGCCTCTGGCCATGAAGGATCGCCCGTCCAGCAGTCGGCCCAAACTACCAAAGCACCGGCCGTTGAACAGAACCCAGTCCGCCCCGTTGCCTCAGAACACGCTGGCTCAACTTGTCATTCAGCAGCAACACCAGCACTTCCTGGAGAAACAGAAACAGTACCAGCAGCAGGTTCATATAAATAAGGTACTTTGCTTTTCACCAATATTCAGTTCACAGGGGAGGGTTTTGACTTTCAGATTAGTTTTTTGCAGCATTCTTCTTTTACTTTTCCTGCTCTCCCAGAGGCTTATTTTACCGCAGGGAGTCTGATTAAATCATTTTAAGCACACCATTGCTGCTCTATTTTTAGCCTTTTCTAAAAGCATCTGTGGTAGCTCAGGTTTTCAGAGCGGGGCCCCGGTCTGCTCTTCCCTGAAATTCTGCTGTTTTTTTTCCCTGCAAAGCAAAGAACTTCTGCCTGACTTCAAATGGAGGAGAAATGCTTCCCCTGCACTAATTCTGTTATCATAGCTCAAGGCATCAGTGCTGCTCACATGCTAAGTCTGTGAAATTCAATTCAGGCTAAGTTCAAATAAAGGAAAAACTGCCCAGAATACATTTTGTTCCTCTGTGGCAATATTTGTGTTTCTGTTAGCTGGCCGAGGTGACCTCGCTAAACACAGAGTGTAATTATTCTGGTGAGGGACGTGTGTGAGGTGGCGGATACTGTGAAAGGCAGCATTGTGTGAGCTCACATACTGATGTGTCCCAACGCTGCAGCCTGAAAAACCTTGGGAACTTTAGAGCAGCTATTACCTGGAAGTCATGAAAAAAAGACACAGAGAGAGAACCACAAGTACAAACGGATTTGTACTTCACACACTCAGCTCTGACGGTGAATGTTTTCATTCCCAAACTGCAGTAACTGCGACTATCGATTATTGATGTAATCCATTGATCTATTTATTATTTACTTCACTTTAATTGAACTGGTTGGAAATGAGAACTTGACCGACAAATGTTAAGCAGCAGCGAAATGAATGAATCAGAGATTTGAGGAAATCAAAAGTAATGGAATGATGTTCTTGATCAAATCAAGTTGATAAATAGATGAAACGTTTTAGCTCCATTTTTGATTTTTGATGAAAGACAAAGCAGCAGCTACACATAGTGAACCAAGGTTTTGAACTGTGCCAACCCCTTGTGTAGACCTCATGATCAGGCCGGGCCCTGGTCATTCAGGCCAATAAGATCTTGACCAAAGCCTCTTTCAGCTGAGGTTATAAATGGCCTCTAATCAGGGATGAGCCCTGAGTGTTTATTGCGAGGGATCGCCAAATCATTGGCCTAATTAATTTCCTAGCAGCAGCTCCTCTGCTGTTGTTTTTAAACATCCTGCAGCGACTGCAACTATAGGGGGCACTAATGGAAAAAGTGGAAGAGCTTAAAGACTTAAGGACGAAGTATGAACAATGTTTTCTAATGCCGAGGCAGATTAAAGGGGTTAATTAGTGCAGCTGAAGGGATATTTATACGAGGCCTACATTCTGGAGACGGTGTGTTTGTGGTGACCGGCGTTGGGGGCTTATCAGTCTGTTTATGGAGCCCTCTTGTGGCCAAGTTATCACATCATGGCACAGTTTCAGCTGCAGTTCCGTCAAACGTGTTTATTAGGCACTGACGTGTCACATCCCGGATTAATAACATAATCCCATCGACCCTAATGACATGAACCTCTGTGTCTGTGGATTAAACACAGATTGATGCTGAGGACCTTTGGTCCCAATCAAGACTTATCTCCATGATAAAATATTTAAATGAAAATAAATCAAAAAGTGGAAAAAAAAATTATAAATTTGGGGGAGGCGGGGGGTCGTGTGTCCCCATCCCTCGTGCCATCTTCGCCAATGACTAAAAGAAAAAACAAATAATACTGTCATACTGAAAATATCAATATTATACTGTCTTACCTTATAATGCCTTATACTCATGGTACATGAAAACAAACAAACAAACAAACAAACAAACAAACAAACCAACCCAGATGAGGAACAGTTCCAGTCGTTTATGCAGCACTGATGTGGCCTCTGTTTTGCAGCTGTTGTCCAAGTCCATCGAGCAGTTACGTCAGCCCAGCGTACACCTGCAGGAGTCAGAGGAAGAGCAGGAGGAGCAACAGCACGCAGAGCAGATGGAGTACATGCAGGAGGACCGGCTGCCCCCTGGAGGAGTCATCAGGAAGCACACGCTCAGCAGCAGTAGCAGCAGTGGCTCCAGCGGTGGCGAGCCGCCTGATGCCCACTGCAGGGTCATCAAGGTGAAGGAGGAGCCGGCCGACAGCGAGGACGAGTCCCTGGGCGCTCAGAGCCTGGAGTCGCAGCAGAGCACCTACCTGCACCAGGTCAAAGGGCGACTGGTGATAAGAGCCATGATCTGAGAGGAGGGGGAGAAGAAGAGGTCAAACACACTCGCAACATTCGCAGATGAACAAGTCTCCTGAAATGTGCATTTAAACCCCTACACACACATACACACACAAACAGACACACACAAACAGACACAGACACACACACACACACACAGCAGCTATTGCACAGTAGGGCAGCTCTTCCCTGTCACCACCCAGTTCCACTCAGCTGCAGTTCCTCTCATCCCACATTTTAAATCTCTCTGTATGTGGTTCTTTGTGTAGTGATCTCTGTAAAATATGTACGTTTTGAATTGAATTGCGGATGAAACACAAAGAGAATCCGGATTGTTCCTTCTAAGAGCTGCTGCGGTCGTTCAGCCACAAAAACCCACTGGTGTATATATACTGTACGGTGGATGATTACAGTAGGCCCGCAGGATGACTACTGGACACAGGAGGGTGACGAGGTGTACAGCTTTGAAGAGCCGACTTATATTTCCGTTGTGTACATTTCTGCCATAAAATATACCAACGCTCGACGGCGAGTCCGAGCGTTGATAGTCGTCATAAAGTCCTGACAGCGCGTTGAAGAGTTTTAAGACCCTTTGTGCTCTGTTGTTCTCTACGGTATGTGATGATGTTCCATGTTAAGTGGTCTCCGAGCTGAAGTAATGAACATCTGTCTCAGTCAGGACATATATTTAAGTATGAACAGGGGATGTTCCCTCACGGCAGAGTACGCTCCACCGCTCATACTGCAATTTGAAGGTTGAAGCACTAAATCCGTACAGGCATCTCCCCAACACATCCTGAGTCTCCATGTCTCCCTAACTGAGCCGTCCCAGAGCCGGGGCTCTACGTGCTAAACCCAGCTCCCCTCCCTTCTCCCCTTCTGGGTCCAAATCAAGGCTCGGGGCCTGGTTCCTGCCAGGCTTTTAGCAGAGGAGTCACAAAAAGAGAGAGAAAGAGAAAGACAGAGAGAGAGAGAGAGAGAGAGAGAGAGAGAGGGCCGGGCAGGAAATGCCTTCTAAAAGCCAGGAGTTGGAGTGATTCATGTGTGCAGGAATGTTGAGAAAGGAGGACCTAGGGTTGGAGGAGTCCAAGGGGCCAGGCTTGAGAATTGATTTACTGTCAAGACGAATTACAAAGTGAGTGGGGATATGGTTAAGGGAGTCCTTTTTTTAAAGGGAATCGCTTCCTTCATATTCCCCAGTGGCAGAGTTACCTCAATATGCAGGTTTGATGTTACTTCAACAAAAAACCTTGGATTGGACTGTGCTGGTTTTTTTTTTTTTTTTTTTTTAATATTATTCAAGCCTGGGTTTTTTTTTTCTCCCCTGAAAGTGCCCACGACCTGTATAGTCTGTCTTAAAGTGATTGATCAAATGTATTGCATAGCTGTAAACCTTTCCAGTTTCATTTGTTCCGTCGACTAAATGTACGAAAAGTTGCTCAGACGTGGTTTTCTGTGTTTGGATTCCTGTGAAAATCAAAACTGTTTGTCTTATGCTGTACATTCAGACTGTCCGGTTGTAATGTTTTAGTGTAAGTAAACACAATCAGAACAATGTGAGTCTTGTTCTCCCGCTCCTTTGATTTGGCTGTAATGAGAAGCTCTGTGCTGTCAGTGGGGGAGGGTGGGGGTGTCTGTTCATAGCAGTTTGCCGTTTTCTTCTCTTTTCTTGCCTTGTGTGATTCAACGTTTTTGTTTTGTTTTTGTTTTTTTGTTGATTTTTTTAAATAAAGTTCATTTACCTCTGATGTCACATCCTGCTGGTTTCTTTTTCCTTTAAATGTCGTGACTGTTTGCGTCGTGAAAATACATAAACCATTTTCTTCGCCATTTACAAATGAAAGTCTCGGCGTCATCACCCGAGCCCGTCTTTCCCACACTGAGCTCCGGACCCGGCCCTTTATTTTCTGTGTAACCTTTGAAGCGGAGCTTAGGAGGCTTTCAAACATTTCTTTGATGTGAGTAAGCTAGGTTCCCTGTGTCAGTCCTGGAGCAGCGGAGATAAGGTGAGCAGTGAATGTCTGATATATGACTTATACCCACAGATACTTTCAAACCAAAGCTTAAGCAATTTCACAGCAGTCTTAGGTCATGGGACCTGCCTGATACACTGTCCACGCCATGGTGAGACTGGAAAAATACCATCACTGTCTACCATCACACTGTGTATCAGAAACACTGCACTGAAGAACACCAACAGCTCAGAAATAAACACACAAAACACGAGAAAAGATGAACTGAAAATGAACTGAAAATGAAAGAAATGTTAACGATTGGTGTCAACAACAGAGAACTGAGGCCGAACCTGGAGGTTCTTTAATTGACAGGTTAATTGGTAACAGGTGTGGGCTGTCAGGACAGACTGAGTCTGGACTCAGTTGGCAGCTGAGTCCATCAAACAGTTGGATCTTTGAGTCATATACCAGCAGGTAACGTGCACTCAACCTACTGACTCAACCTACTGACTCAACCTACTGACTCAACCTACTGACTCATGTTTGTTTACCATGAGCATTTCTACCATTCAGGTTACCAGTTTTTACAAACCATTGTGGATATGAGTGTTTGGTGAGAGTCCAACCACAACCACAGTGACGACACCAGGTAGGAAGTTTGTATCAACAGCAGAATATTTCATTCCAAAAAAGAAACACATTATTAAAAGTCACACTGACCCTGTCCTCACATTAGACAATATCAGTAAAACTAAAGAAAAATGATTTAAAAAAAACCAAAAACTTTGTGTAGTTAACACAGCTGTCGGGACAGAAAGTGAGCAGAGCTTTCACTGTGTCTTAACAAACAAACTGCTGTGTTTTCTCTCTGCTCTGCCCTGTTGTTCTGTTATCTTAATATTTTCTTTGCATGGAACCTTACCCTCACACTGCAGGTTTAACAGATCGAAGTGTGAGTTACTAATTGTATTTTTTTTTAATTGCATCTTCAGATAGAGTATCCACGCGTTGTATTTTTCACTCAGGTGTGAAGATAAAAAATGAGGAAGTATTTCAGTTCAACGAGACGCCGGCTCTCCGGTACCTTCCATCTGTCTTGGGCTTCAGGCTGTTGTGATTTTAAATGAGCTGTTACAAAGTCAGAAAAAATAACGAAGGCTAAATCCATCTGTACTGCCCCTCCCTCTGCCGTCCCTCGCCGTCTCCCCCTCCCCCCTCCCCCAAATCCAGCTGTGAGCACAGCCAGTTGTAAAAGCAAGCAAGCTTTTCCAAAGGTGTAAGGAAGTAACAAAGACATCAGTCCACGACGTCCTCTGACTGGGTTACGCTGTACAGTACAGTACAAGTCAGGCCTGGGGTTTTATTTAATTTTTTTAAATTTTTATCACTGTTCAGTTTCTATTAAAAAATGTACGATATATTACCAGGAACGATAACCTGCCAACACAAATAGCTTCATTTTAAACTCATCCAGAAATCTGGTTCAGAAGTCCGTCCAAACACAGGACCGATGACTGGGACGTTGTAAAGCCAAGTGGAGGAGAGAAGCAAGGTCACGGTTAAACGCACATTAAACACTGCTCTGCTGCTAATTTAATTCAAAACAGTTTCATTTTTAACACGCGCCAGAATTTGATGAATTGAATTGGATCAATATTGTACAAAAATAACACATGGAGAATAAGAGAGAGAGAGGGAGGGAGGGAGAGAGGGAGGGAGGAAGGGGGGAGATTTTCTTCTGATACGTAATGTCTTCCATAGTGACTCAGGTAAATCCCACTGAGACTAACTAGTTCACTTCATCACTAGTTTACCGTCTAGTCAGGAAGTTTGAGAAAGTCCAGCACCGACTGCAAAAGTTTATAATGAATCTAAAAGTGTGGGTTCCAACCCAGATCCTGGACGTGGTCACAGTTGGGTTCACCTTTGGGCTGGGAAACAAACCCTCTGCCCTGGATGAACGCCACACGGCCCCACCCGTGGTCTGCGATCCAGATTTTTTTTTCTTATGCAGTTTTATTCTACTTCATTCAATAGTTGTTTTAAATTAAACTTCTAACGGCCAATGAGAATTTAGAGATTGGATTTGACTCTCAACTATTGACTTGGCAGGTATTTAACAACGACTCTAGTACTCTAGTACCACAAATACTAGAGTCTTCTCCTGTCAGGACTACTCTTAGTGTATAACCCAGCTATGACCACAGACTGGCTCACAGACAGTACACACGTCACACTGAAGTAGTCGGTAGAACTACTGCTGAGTTCAATAGTATTCGAAGAACATTACTTTAGTAATAGAGTAAATCCAAAGTGAGTCTACGTCCACTGACCACTAACTGTCTGTAAGTAGGTTCATATGTGATGAGGGTTCTGAGGTTACCGACATTTTAGAGCCTGAGACAGAGGCTAACAAAAAAAGTACTTGGACTTCTTTATCCTTCACATGTAGAAGTAAATGAGTCAGAGCAGGTTCTAATGTCCTTGGGCTCCGAGGAATGAGTTTCCTAATGGTTTTGAATGTTTGAGAAAAGCGCCGTAAAAATGCCAGCCCTTCAGTTTTAACAACAATACCAGAAGAACAGCAGAGAGAATTCCCAGACACTCAGAGCAGATGGAATCTCAGAAGATAATGGAGTTAAATTACCAAAGTGCAGGCACAGAGTCCACCTGGCAGCGATGGTCGTCCTGACCAGGAGAAGCCAAAAGTTCCTCACTTAAAACAGAGCAGATGTAGAAAGTCTAAAAAGATCCCCTGGAGCCTGATCAATAAACCTGGCGCCGAGGAATCGCACGGCCGACCAGTCGTCGGCCTTTTGTTTGATGGCGATTGGTGTTTTCTCAACTGATCTGAACTAATCACAGAGTCGATACACACAGGTAGAATGTGTGTTCACAGACGCAGCCATGTCATAGTTTTTTTGGATCCTAAGAGGAAGTTAAAAAACCCAAAAAAAACTCCATCAATTTCTCCCCTGACTGCACGATGTCATATTTCACCAGCGTTCCAAACACGTCGAGACGTTCCTCAGTCTTCTTCCACTGCACTGTTCTGTTGTGGTTCTGTCAGCTGACCAAGGATAAATAAATAAATCTTCAATAAACCAATAAATCAATGGAAGTTGATAGAAAAAAACCCAACTCTTTATTAAACGGGCGGTTAGTTGTTAGTTACCTACTAACAGGTCGTGTGATGACTTCTCCTCCTTCACTAAATGTTGTTGGCAACGTTTCACAAATTTTTCTGTGAAACTTTTTATTAGAGGAAGGGAGTATCTGGATATGGAACTGCAGTCGGTACTGGAACTCAACAAGTACAGGGGAGAGGGTGGTGAGACATATATGTAGATATATGTAACAATATATTAGTGTATATATATATGTGTATGTAGATGAAACTATTGTCTATATACATAACGTATATGTAATATATTATATATGTACATATATGTATATGAATACATATATGTACATATACATACACATATATACATACATATACAAATATTTATATAGAAATGTATTTATGTGTGTATATATAGGTTATATGTATATATGTATATTAATACATATATACCTGCACACACATATATGTGTGTATATATATATAAAATACTTTGTTGTATGTAGTTGGTGGTCCTTGTTTCATCCCCTCTCATTGTTGATGACCTTTGACCTAGATCCGTGGCAGGGGAAGAACTACAAACGAAGTCCCAACTTTTTTTTACCTAGCGCGTCTTTAAAGTGCGATCGATGTCCATTCGTCTTGGTGTTGACTTTGTATTAGAATTCAGTGCAGTGTAAAACCTCGTGTCCATTAGGAGCTGATCTAAACGAGGAAGCCATTTGAGAGATGGACTTGCCCACCAAAGATGAAGATAATAAAGAGCAAAAATAGTCCATGAAGGAGGTTTTCCAGCTTCCTCCTGTCGAGATCTCTATGACTCTGGCATCAAACACTTCATTGTGGTGTTTTTCTTTCCATGTGCCGTTAACTGAGCTGAATGTGTCGGACAGTGCGCCGCTGGCAGCAAGTGGAGGAGAGCGTTTTGCTCTTTGGTGTTGAAGTACTGCGCCTAGCTCCATTCAAAAAACTCTGGAACACTAAACTCTGAACCGGACCCTTGAAGAAAGACTGTCCATTTGTTTAGAGAGAAAGAAAATAAAAACATCCTTTTAAGGAGGAAGGGAAAAGTCCGACATGTTTTCCTTTTGTCTCATGAGATAAAGTACCGATGACCAAACGTAGGTGGTGTTTATGTGACTGTCCGTCTCTGTGACTGCAGTCATCAATAGTGTTATCTCAGCCTTTAAAGGATTGATATCCCTTTTCAAGTTTAATGAGATAACAGAGCCGGGGGAGTTCTCCTCCCGCTGGGTTCAAAGAGCGTCCGTCTCGAGGAGCTGCTTTATCTCAGCCACTGATTGACCTGGCTGATAGGTGATACTGAGGAACCACAGTGGCCCCGGGATGTGGTCTCTCCACTGGACGAACGGGGACCGGCAAACTTGGCCTCTGGTCTGTGTGAGCGTCTCACCAGCGGGGGCTCTGGCGTCCCTGGGATGCCGCCGTCTCCCTTTGATTCCGGCGAGCAGGCACTTTAACGTGCCCACCTCCCTCACACCGTCCAATCTAGAGCTCATAAAGCACGTCTGCCACTCTGCAGCTAGTTGGACAGGACGTGTTTGTAAAGTGTTGCCTGAACGCTCCGCCAGGCGCAACGATGCCCCGAGGGCTCGTAAGAGCTGTGATTTCTTCTCCCGGCTCATGCCAAGAACCCATTTGGAGTTCCAG